GGCCTGGGGGAGAGGGGGTCACACACAGTCTCTCGCTCCCTCCCTTGCCTTGCAAGGGGTACACAATGCTTAAAGTCAATCCTAGTGGTTGACTCTAAACGCTGCCCTGCTGGTGGGGGGAGGAGACTTTGCATGCTCCCTTAACCCTAGGCATTGATTGGCTGGGGGCAGGGGAGTGGGAGGGTGTCTGCAGGCTGGATAAACCCACTTGGCGGGCCAGATCCAGCCCACGGAGGCCCTTTTGCCCCTGGTCTATATATACAGATGATAGATTTCCAAAGGAATCTACTCCTCCATTCAAAATTTCCAAAGAGAAATTTCCACTACCAATTAACATTTTTAGGGGTCTGCAAAAGAGAAAAGGTGTAATGACCTCATAGCCCTGGAGCCTGGGAATTCTGTGCTATGCTTCTAAGAGCTGCAGCACAGAAACTCCACCTCAGTTGCTAGTTTGCCTTTGTAGTTACTATCCATTGGTTTCCATTCTATTTTCATGCAGTCCATTTTTTATCATTTGTACTTGGAACTGTCAAATTTAGTCTGAACATATGTTGGCTTTGGAAATTTTTGCTGCTAAAAATTAGTGGTCTTGCTTTAAGGTTGCAATCCCTTTTTAGGAGGTAGTTTCTCTTCTGTAATATTTAAAATAAGAATTGCCCTAAAATGTAATATAATTGATGTTGTTTTGTCCCTCTTATTAGTGGTCAGAGGTGTCTCTTACTACTATAAAAAGTTAAAACATTTTTGGGTATTGTCTCAATATATTAACTTAATGAATTTATACTGTTTAAAATGATTTTTAAACATATTTTTTTTTAGGACTTAATTGTCCAGTTGACAGATGATTCTGATCCTTTTTTCCTTTATAACCTTGTTATATCTGAGGAAGATTTTCAAAGGTTAGTTGTCAACTTATTGTGCTGTTTATGACATATTAACAATGATGATAAGGAATGGCTAGATATTATTTCATTTTTAAAAGTTCTGTTTGACTATCAAATAATAGAACTTGGCTCTTACAGCATTTTTCTGCCATAGATTGCCTAATGGTCTACAAAGGAAGACCTAATATCATTCCTCTCCATGTATAGATAGGAAAACTGAGGCATAGAGAGGTGAAGTGACTTGTCCAAAGTCATTCAGGACAATGATGGAATCCTGGTTTCCTAAATTTCAGTCCAGTGCCGTATCCACTAAGACCACACTACCCCCTATTTTTGTATCTGGGTGTTTCTGAACATTTTGCAAGGATTTCAGTTGGCATACTCTCATAAGCAAGGACTGCTTCAGTGAGCAAGTGTTCACAGAATTGGATCATTCAATGAAAGATGTATTTTGGATCATCACATTGTTGGATCTCAATACAATTGTAATAATTTAAGGAAAAATACTTCGGTTTGAACATCTGAATGACAATCTCTGATCAATATGTAGTGGCAGATAAAAAGAAGAAATACAAATACATTTGGGGTTTTATTTCAGTAGTTACGATATATCAGTCATATCTGCTTCATTATACTAGGTTTGCACACTAGGGATGTTGAAGTTTAACCAGTAAGCATATGCCTTACTAACATGCTAACCAGTTAACCAGAGGGCTCCCCTCCATGGCGGCCCAGCCAGCAGGACTCTAGCCATGGCAGAGCCAAAGCAGAC